AAGAGTGCGATTATAAACACAACGAGGCTGTAAAACTAGTAAGTAGATGAGTTTTCCTGTTTGATGTGATGATGTTTAACGTCCCTGACAACCTCTGTAGTCCCATTTAGTGATTTGTTAGCAACCACCTTTCACAAGACAAGTAACAAAATAAAAAAATTAAAAAACGGGGTACTACTACTGATGTATTTTATGTTGTAGAATAAACATGAATATATATGAATATAAGCTAAATGGTGCACAACCGTTTATCAATAATCATCATGAAGACCAGGCCAAACATCTTTAAGTTTTAGTTCTCAAATTGTCAAATTCTGTTCTGCCTTCAGTAACAAGGGGATATCATTTATTTCATGTGACAGAATTTCGAATCTCGTTTTTACGGGGATTCTCCCATATTTTACCATTCTATCCTGCTATCATCCCATTTAAATATTTATCCTGTATTTCTGATCTTTCTCGGCGTATTTGATATGTTTGCTACATTCGCCTCCGGTAAAACTCCCGTAATTTGTATGGCCCAAACCTCATTATATGAATAATCAGTAAATCTGCTTTGTTACTGGGGAAACCGCTATATTTCTACCGTTCCGAAAGCGCCACCTGCTGGCAGAGAATGAATTTGCATTTTTCAATAAGATATGTTAGGATCACAAGGAAGGCAATTCGAAGACAATTTTTCACAATTTACACTACAGTCTCTTGTAATGTCAAGTCAAGTCACCTTTATTTATATAGCGCTTTTAACAATACAGATTGTGTCAAGGCAACTATACAGCATTAATTAGGCAGTGTGTCAGTCAATAATGCAAAATGACAATAGTAAACACTCATTTTCCAGTGGCAAAAAGAAGGCAGTTCATCATCAAAGTCCCTTTAAGGCAAGTCGTGTCACTCGGCGGCCATCTTTGAAACGCCTCTCGGGCATGCAAGTGCAACTCCTATCTCTTTGAATGGGGAATCATCAAATTCTCCAAAACTGTTCGCAAAATTTACGATTAAATTTCATATTTGAAATCAATTAAATCTGACAACAACTGTATCATAAGTGTTGTTATTTTGCTCAAATAGCGTTTAAAAAAAGCTTATTTCTCAAGCTAGACCAGCCAGTGCGCATGCGCAGTCCTAGGCGCACGTCTCAGAACGCTTACTGTTTCTATAGCAACTGGGACTTCTAACGGCAGCTGCAGTGACGCGCTGACT